AGGCAACCATGTTGAGCCTCATTATAGTAACATCATTTGGGACCACGAATTTATGTCATTGTTATAACAATTCTGCTATTATTATAAGAAATTGTTAAAATAATTGGACCTTGAATCTTTGAACTCTTTAGAACTATGATGTTGTATCTAATTTGCTGTTATGAGAGCCTCTTTTAAAATAGGTTATAGCATCATAATTCTAAAGTCTCAGGTTTTAAATTCCAATTATTTTAACTGTAGTTATAACAACATACAATTTTAGTCCCAAGTAATGCCCCTTTTTATTTCTTATCCATCCATTGGCTTGTCAAAACCATGTTCTACAGACCATGTTCTTTCAGTCTATGAAGGACTCTAAGGAGATTCTTGTAAAGATCTTATTTTATTTAAGCTTCTCAGCGCTGCAGAATGTGTTCTGGGAAGGCTTCAACCAGCTTGACATTTGGTAAAAGTAAGAAGTGATTGATGCAAGACCATCAACAATGTTGTTGTTGTTTCTTATCCCCTTGTGTAAATATTACATGAATTTCATGAGTTCATGCTCCTCAAGCTGTTTTATGATAAGCAATGGCCTCTCCCTGTTTGGTGCATCTAATGCAAGCCAAAATTAAGCCTCCCATAAAATCTACAAGTTACTCTTCACGAATAAAGGTGTCCAATAAATAGAATATGGTAAAAGGTACAAATTCAAATAGATAATTGACATTTTGTGATAACAGCTTGTTGCCATCTTCAGACAATAGTAAAATTTGGGGAAAAGGTCACAGAATGCCTTCAATAGTTGTCACTGTTAGCATTTGAAAAAGCAAAAGACCTGAAAAATAAAGTGCTGATATGAAGAAATATAAATAAGATTTTTTTTTTTTTTAACCTATATAAAACATTACAGTAGAGAATTCCTCTCTCTTCCCTAAAGATCGCCTAGTTGCAGAGCCTTTAGGAAGAGATGTCTTCGTAATGGAGAGCAGCTTAATGGTAATTTTAGCCATGAAAGCTCTTATTTGTGGAGAGATATCCTTTAGTAAGAATGTCCATTTACAGTATTTGCAAAAAGTAAAAATGGGGGGGGTAGGAAAAAATATATATATGTTATATTAAAATATTATTTTATGTAAAAAAAAAAAAAAAGTATATTTCATAGATACAAATACTCTGTTAAATCGACCGCCAGAGGTCACTCTTACCCTATAAAAACTCATTGTTGTTGTTTCCCGATGGCCGGCTCAAAACTTTTGTACATTATGTAAATAGGTTTTTCATTTTTTAGATTCTTACGCCTTAAGCCAGGCATTACTTTTACCAAACTTATGTTTTTTTAAATATATTCCTTTATTTCAATTTAATTACTGATCAAAACCATTTTTATTGTTATACTTTCAAGATTTTAACAACGACTGCATTACCATAGCATAATTCTCAAGATAATCAAAATCAAGCAGAAAATCAATCTTATTTTTTTTATATTATATATATATATAATTAAAAGCATATTTGTTGTTGTTTCTTATCCCCTTGTGTAAAGATTACACGAATTCCATGTTATTCTGCGTGACGGGCGATGCAGCATGCAAATCAACATCTGATCTCAATGGGGTGTAGGGGTGCAGCTTTCGTTGATCATGGCACCATGATCCAGGCACACTTTGGTGAAAGTCTGACTTTGCCTGTAGTTTGAAGCCGTTCCTAACATGGAAGCAGACGCCTTTGCTGCCGACTCTAACATGAGTACAGACATAGCTCCTCTGTATCCCTGGAGAGGGACCCTTGCTGAGGTCCATCAACTAGGTCAGTTGAAGTCAGGATTTTTAAAGAGGTCTACTCCTCTTCTAACAATGCTGCTGTTGGTCCGCGACTGCTTATTTGTCAGAGTTATTCTGCTTGTTTCACAGATGGCCTTCATATCATATCATTATAAATAACATAAGCTAGGTTGTTTTTTTTAAGTGGTACCTAATAAAGTTATTTTGGAACAGGAAATAAGTAAGGTAGTAATAATAATGACAACATTCTGGATGCCAAGACTTACCCGACAGTCATGACTTCCACAGAGCTGCGGTCGGTGACAAAGTTGTTGACGATGCTGTTGACACAGCCTTGGATATCCTCTGGAGGCACCAGCTATATTTGTAGATGTGTAAATGACATCAATATTTTTTTCATTAATTGCAGCATACAGTTTTTTTTTTTTGGACGAAAAAAGGCTTTTCTTTAAATTATTTTTAGAAAAAGTTTATCTAATATTTGTTTCTTTTAGTTTGAAATTAGTGTGCCCAGAGTCCTGCAGATGGTGCATTGTGGGAAGGTCTTGACACCATCCTGAATCAGTCTTGTACGGCCTGTGTTTAGATGCTTAGTAGTTAGAGTGGGCCGATCTTCAATTTGAAATGTTGTCCTCAAGGAGTTTCACTGACCTTGGTGTCATGTGCAGATTGTCAATCAAGAGCACATCACAGGATCAACTATTTCATTCCAGCCTCAGGTGAGTCTGCACTCTCTATGTGTGTAGCTTCTTCCTAAACTCTTTGAAATTGACATGTCCTTAAGCTACTAAAGATTTTCTTAAATGGCTTCTTTCAACGGAGGTCACAGAAAAATTTTCTACTGATGTCTTGTCAGAAACTCTCTATTAATTCCTTTTCTAAAAGGCCTTCCTCCATACCTATGTATTGAGATAATTGTTTTTATTTTTAAATGAAACTCTAAACAAATGTGGCACACATTGTACCACAAACAAATGTAACACAAGGTAATAAGACCAAATCCAAAATTTTTATAACACACAATTTGTTACAAACCACGGAAATTTCAAAAGTTTTTAAAATAGAATAAAGGCAGTGGATGATTCAAGTTATTTTTGTGGTATTGAGGAACAAACCTCAAGACATCTACTGATCAAATGCCCAGCATTTCAAGATTATAGAATGAAGAATGAACTAGTTGTTTGTGAACTTAACAATTTGATTTCCGATAAAAAATCATATTTAAAGTTTAATTCATTTTGTAAATACATTCTAAACTTTCTACAAAATCTGGATCTCTAGTGTTTTCATGCGTTGAATAAAGTAAATAACTTATGTAAATAAACTTTTCTCCTTGTTTGGCGCAAGTATCCCTTGCGGGATATAGTGCTTTTAAAATAAATAAAAAAAATAATAAAAAAAAAAATAAATAAATAGTGTGTGACGTTTCGGTAACAACGCTGTTACCGAAACGTCACACACTATTTATTTATTTGGATTTGCTCTTATTACCTTGTGTTTATAATCTTTAATCCAAATTGTGCCGTATCAAACAAATGTAACTTTTACAGTAGATAATAAATCATTTTTGTATGTTGGGATTTTTTTATTTAAATTGATAAAGTCATCAAATTTTTTATTTACCGATGTTTCAGCGACCCACTGCTGCCATTCCCAAAGTAAAAACCCTCAATATGATACTGGACAATAAAACACATTGAGGCTTTTTAACCTTGAAATTGGTAGCAATGAGGTATTAAAATGTCAATGAATGTGTTTATTATTTACGTTTTTTTTTACAGTAGTGAAGTAATTGACTTTATTGAAAATATTTGTTACTTTTCATCTTTGGAAAACCAACCTGAAGCCAAAGGAAGGCTCAGGAAAGCTTAGATTAAAGGATATCCTAGGAAACGGATATAGCGTGTCTTATTTGCAACTGGTAATAAATAAATATCCTAGGAAAGGACTTCTGAAGTCTTCAGAATTTGTCAATAAAAGCTTGTAGAGTGAATATTCTGCCCATTCTGAAAATTAAATATTGATTGAAAAAAAAAATGTAAAAAATAGAATGTGACTTGCAAAAGCAGACTTGATTTGACCACATGTGTGAAAATAAAATGTCTTTGCTCCTTTTATCAGTGATGCATTTATCTGGGACATATGCACTACCTAGTTGTGCAAACCAATAATACCATTCTCCACTTCTGCTCCATGCTTGCAGCATTCATCCTACTTTTCCATTTTCTTTTTATTCAGCAGCTTTTTACCTTGAGTTACATCAATTTGGCTATCTCATCAGCTTGTGGGGGAAATGTACATACAGTTAAACCTGTCTTTAGCGCCCCCTCTTGGGACTGACCAAAATAGGGTGCTATAGGCAGGTCACTTTTAATGTAAATCGCATTGTACTAGGTATTTAAAATTGGATGCTATAGAGAGGGAGGCGCTATTTAAAGCGGGCATTATAGACAAGTTTAACTGTTGTTATTTAAAAATATTTCTGGAAAAAAAAACCTATTTATTATTGGTCTGTTGATCCTCAGTGTTTGATTCTCTTAAAACCTCTGTGAACCCACAATTGTATATTTACTGAAGCCATGCCCAGGTGCAGGAGAGTGCTGAGAAACAGCCCCAGGAACCAAGTGCAATAGAAGCAGCCACGGCTACAGGCGGAGAAGAGCCGGCCGCTCTACCCACCGCTCAACCTTTCACCTACGCCACATTCCCCACTGCAGCAGCCCCCACCATCTCTTACTTCTTTGAGTCTTCATCCGTGGTCCAACTCCCTCAGCCCAGTGCTGGGGTGGACATGGGCAAGAGGTCCCAGGGCACGTCCCCGCTGCACTCGTGCAACTCCCCGCTGCCCCCAGAGGAACATGCCATAACTATAGAGGAGGAGGAAGAGGAAGAAGGCAGCACCCAGGTGAAGGCCAACAATGCCTGCCATATGGTCAGCACAGCTACCCAGGTGGACATCAGCTCGGACGATGATTCTTCAGAGGAGAGAAGCATGGAACGCCTGGACTCTGGCATCCAAACAGATGAAAACTCTAAAGATCAGATGGATACTCTGGTAAAGAAGAAAGAAGATACTCCAACAACAGCAGCAGTGGGTGCTGCTCCTCCACTCAAGGAGGTAGTTGAAGGCGAGGTGGAGAACGCCCCAGTGCTGTCTGCAGAAAGCAAGCCGGTCATGGACTTCATTGACTACCACGGCTTGAACCTGCTGGTGGACAGTATTGAGGAGTTTTCCTCCAGGGAGCAGACAGAGCCCAAGCCAGAGCTGCCAGACACCTCGGGCTGCACTGACGGACTGGGACTTCTGTGTGCTCTGGCGGAGCAGAGGTTCCAGGAGGAGAAACTGGCCTCCCAAGCTGCCACCAAGCCCCCTCGTCTCAGGCTCTCCTTCACAGAGCTGCGGAACAAGTACAGGCAGAAGAAACTCTATCTCCAGAAATGCCAGAAAAAGTAAGCTCCTTTTTATAAATACCCATCCCATAAGAGACCCATCTAATCCACCTTTGTAAAATCAACCCAACCTCTAATGAGAGATCACCTCCATGAGTTTTGTCCCTCATACAATTTCTCATCTTCAGCTCATACCAGTTCTCTCTGGCTTGTCAGGGAAGAGATTGAGACCATGAAACAAGGTTCGGTCAATAAATAATGTACAATCAGTTAAAGTCCGCCCTGGACTGAAGAGGGCCATTAACCCGAAACCATGGTCTTCGGGTAGACGCTTCTCAGTTTGCCAAAGCTGGTGTTGAGACTTTGTCACCGACCTGAGGTCGCTAGTTTGCGCTGACGGTCAATAGATGGCGTCTAGTTTTGATGTTTATTTTGTTAGGAGAGGAGACCTTAGCTTTTATAGAACTAGGAAAAGGTATGATGGCATAACAAATATATATTCTTGGAAGATTCATTCCTTCAATATTTGTTCATTGTCGTGTTCTCTACCTAACAAAATAGCAGTTGACGAACACCACACGGTATAAAATATTTATTTCTATAAAATGGGATCCTTTCACTCTCCTCTTACACTCTATATATATCCAATCATTTTTACATAATTAATTTTCTATCAGAAAATTAATACATATTTACATATATGCTGCACTTTTTTCTCCAAGAATAAAATCTGCATATGGAATCATTACATTCATATACCTATATACAGAATAGGGGACCTCATTACAACAGTCAACTTTATATCAGCAGCTTGGAATATCTTCATTATCTTATCTCCCTCTATTGCTGAATATTATAACCACATCTTTCAACACTACCCTGCTTCTAAAATATTAATTATTAACATTTATTTCTACAGCTCATATCTATACTCCAATGAATCCTCCTTCTTTCAAATTTTATTCATTGTAGGATAAGGGCTGTAGAAATAAATTTGTTGTTGTTGTTTCTTATCCCCTTGTGTAAAGATTACACGAATTCCATGAGTTCATGCTCCTCGAGCTGTTTTATGATGAGCAGCGGCCTCTCCCAAAGGTCCTGTTTAGTGCATCTAATGCAAACCAAAATGTGTTCTGGAGCTGCAGGTACCAAACTACATTTTGGGCAAGTGGGATAAATTTTGTTATTATTTTCTATCTTCAATGGCTTGAGATGGCCTGTTCTAAATCTTGTTAGTGTTGTTTGATGCTGTCTATTTCTGATGTTCAGAGCTCCTCCTGGGTTCACTCCACTGTACCAACCAGAAATAAATTTTAATTCTCTATATATTTTAGAAGTATTGTTAAAAATGTGTTTATAATATCCAACAGCAGCGCTCAGTTAGAGCATTTTAAGGTACCAATTGATTGTCTGTGGTTATATAACAACTTGGCAGGTATTTTTGGATCTAAGTGATGTTGTTATAGCGAGATTCAACTCTATATAAATAATTCTTATAGGTTTTTAAAACTATAGGCCGTCTCAACTTTGTGTAAAACTTCATGGGTTTACCTAGTTTATTGCAAGAAGTTTTTTGCTTCCCATGAGCCATATATAGCCATATCCCATGAGCCTATAGCAGTGATTCTCAACCTGTTTTTTGTTGCGGCATTATTTTAAAGATTTGAAAATTTGGCGGCACACTTTTAGAATTTCGCGGCACACTTTTGCTAACTTTAATGCAAGAAAATTCAAATTATGTATCGATATTTCTATGCAAAATATAAGTAATATACATCTCTAACATTCAATTTGCTAATTTCGTTATTTTAAAAAGTAAAAAAATGTAAAAAGAAAAAAAGAAAAACCAATACAAACGTGAACATAATCATATTACTAAAATTCGGCGGCACATTTTTAGAATTTCGCGGCACACAAAATTACCGCGGCACATTGGTTGAGAATCACTGGCCTATAGCATTGAAAAGAATAATGCAATATAAACATTTATTGGCTTGATAGTGTCAGGTAGATGATAGCAATTTTGAATACACAGTTTATAGATTACTGAGTGGCAACTTGAATGTTGAGAATGTACAGGAGAACTGTCCCCACCTTACTCCCCTGCAACAGAAGATTCAGAAGAAACAGAGCCAAGCTTCTGAAGGCTAAGGTAACTACCCTTTTAGCCACATAGGTCTACTTCAAACCTGATAGTCGGTCAGTGGTTGGGTGAAGCATATCTTTTTATTGGTGGAAAAGACAAGCTTCATCCGACAACCTTTTTTTTAAGAAATACTTTCTGATTATTCTTAGGGTATACATCTATATATATAAAAAAACAATGTTTTTATGTTTGTTTGTTTGTATGTCCGGTATACAAATTCGCAGTAGTTCACTAATTCAAACCAAAATTTCCATACATAGGTAAAAAAATACGGGGAAGACGATAGGCTATTTTAAAAAATATATAAATCAATTATTAAAACTATATATTCAAATTATTCTACTTAGCTCACGAACAGCGCCCTCTATCAAGGATTAGATTAAATTATGCTGATGCAAACAAATAGATAATGCTAATAATATACAATTATAAAAAAAAAATCTTATCTAAATATATATCACTCGGGTAGATATGCACACGGGTCAATCCTGGGGCGAAGCCCGGGTCACCCGTCTAGTTTTTTATAAAAGCCTTTTGTGACTTACAACCAGCCATTGCAAATGCCCTGACTATGCTTAATGAAATATCTTGTATTTCATCTCCATGAAAATTTCACAGAATTCTCTCACATGCTAACAAGACCAAATAAGTATTCTCTATTTGATGCTTCTGCAATGGTCTAGTTACCATCTTCAGACTTTATTACACAAACATCACATAGAATTTACTCATTTGAATTTAGTCTTATTACCTTGTCATTTTAGTTTCCATAATCTTATAATTGGACCAGATCCATTAAGTATTTTTGTTTTGTGTAAGGAGCTTGCGAATGAAGCTCCGCCACTTCTGGAGCCCAGTGTCCCCAACACTCTCCGTGAGTATGCTGTGCCATCTCTACCGGCAGCTCTAACAGGGGCTGCAGCTCGACTCACCAAAGAGGAGATCAAGTCTGTGCCATTATCAGCACCTGTCCAATCCACAGGTGAGTGTTGCGCTGGTTGTTGTGAACTGTGCATAAAGTTGTGGTTCCCAGCATCCCTGGAATTGATGTCAACCACCAGCAGTCCACTTCAAGTCAGGAAGAAGAGGAGCAAGAGTGCAGGTGAGTGGCCGTCAAGAGTGTAACTCCAGTACAGGCTGATTGTGAGACATATTTACTGACAAAACCCTTGTGTGAATTGAGAGTGGAACTTGAGACATTTACAGACTTTTGCATCAAGAGTTTCATTAAAATCCAGAATGTTGGCATACTCCTGCATTCAAGAAGTAATAGCATCTTAATTATATAGTCCTCCCTAATATATACAGAGGTTAACCATCATGGAATGCCTTTCCACCCTGTTCTGAACAATTCACCATCTCTTTGTAGCTTCTAATTCCAGAGTAATCTATGAGATTATTGAACTAATAAAAAAAAGTAACAGAATGCCAATTATATAGCCAATCAAAAACATACTAAGATTGATATATTTCAGATGATAAGCCCAGCACCAAGGTGGGGACCAAGAATGGAGACCTATCTTCTACCCGGTCATCAACTGGTGAGTCAGCCCACCCTGCTCCCCAGACCTTGCTCTAACTTTCCCACTGCTGGTGTGTCGTAGATTCCTCTGGTGACAAGGTGAGCTTACCTCCCCGGGATCATTTCACTCTGCCATCTTTTACACCTCATAACTCTCATAGCTTAGACTACCCACTTGGACAAAAACATTAGTCTGTCTAGGCAATTTTTTAATGAGAGATAGTGTAGGCATAGACCTGCAATGAGCTGGCCAGAAGGGATCATGAAAACTAGCGGAAGGTCACTAGATGAACTGAGAGTGATGATCACTAACTAAAAAAGTTTGATGGACGCTAACAACAACAGACATTGAATGGTCAAAATCCTTCTTTTAAATTTTGAGTATTTAGTTAAATAGAGTAAGAGAAAATTGTAATAATTTTTTCACATAACTAATGCATTCCAGTCTTGATTTGGGTTTTATCATTACTCAGAATAAGACCAAATCAGATCTATCTGGTCTTCTAACTCAACAGTAGAACATACTTCAAGAGACGACACTCCACTAGCAAACACTTCTATATGAAGGACAGTTTTTATTGACAGAATTACCATTCTATCTATTAGCTGCTTGCTGGTTAGTGGACACATGTCCCTAAAGTACACTTTGGCTCTGCAACATGATGTCTGTAAGGGTGAAATTCTACTGTACTAATATTAACACATGCTCAAGGAGCATAGACTCATGGAATTTGTGTAATCTTTTCACAAGGGGGTAAGAAACAACATCTGCAATCTAGAAGACACTTGGTGACTCTGTCACTGACCAGTCTGCTAGCCTGCTGAGATGGTCAATAGATGGTTCATAGTTTTCATCTAGTTTGATAGGAGCCTTTGTCTTTCTAGTATTTCTTTATTTATAAAAATGTAGTGTGTGTATACACATAAAATATTGAAGCATTACTTTTCATTGAACTTCTATTTTAAATTATGATGGGTCTGAATAAAATATGGATTATCTTACATTTGTTAGTTGTATCTGTCATTAAAGTGAGCTCATCATCAAGCAGAATGTCACCAGCGAGTGTAATAGCCAGGTTGTGGTGGCAGGGCAAGCAGCCTCCGGTGGACAAGCTGTGGTTCATCCGCCGGAGTGAGCGGATCTTCCTCCATGATGCTGGGGTGGTGTCCAGCAGCAGTCCGGAGCCTCCCCCGCTGACCACCAAGGTATCTTTGTTTCCTCACTGTACCTTCAACTCACCCGTGGAGTGTTGTAAA